TTATTAGTGACACCATGCGCAAACAATACATGTCCAAGTAAGCAACTACTAACTCTCTTTTAAATATTAACAATAATCTTTTTAATAAATTAAATATATTCAAAATATAGAGGTCATCTATTATTAAATTTTTATTTATTAGTGTGCAAATACTTTAAAATATAGATAATACTTTCGGTTCTGTGCAAAAATTTGCAAATCACACGAGAAGATGCAAACCGTATTAGACAAGTCTAGTATGAGAACTCGACTAAAAAGACATTAATAAAAGAAATCAATTCCGACCTTAATTCCTTATAAGATACTACCTACTTCATTAATTCATCATAAAGGGTAATACAAATAATAATTATGAAATATAATACTCTCTCCGTTTCATTTTAGTTGTCATGTTGCATTTTTTGAAAGTTAATTTGACTAATTTTTAACTTTAAATAAATTACATTTATTTGATATTTTAAACTAAAAATTTATAAATTTAAAAACTATACGAAAAATACTATAAATTGTAATTTTTTGCATATCAATATGATGAATAATACATTGTAAAATGTTAGTCAAAGTTATTATGTCTTAACTCTGAAAAAAGAAAATCGTGACAACTGAAAGGAAACAAATGGAGTATTATATTCTAGGGTTGGTAACCCACAAAGATGAGCCTAAAATGATAGTGACTTGCAATTTCATGATAGCCTTTGACAAGGAAAAAACGGTTTTTTTCTCTTTCACAAAAAATTAAATAAGATTAATTTAACTAATTATTCATTTATTATTTTATGTTAATTTTAAATTTGTTGTAGTAGTAGTATCTATGCCGACCACTTTGATATATCACCTGAACAATGATCTTCCACGTTCGTATTTTATGTCACCATCTAAATAAATAATAATATCTTGCTATCGTAATCAAAAATATTAATCAGACAAATGATGCTATTATAGCGAATTATTGAGAATGAATTTCATTAGGCAGTTAGGCATGTGGTTAGTGGGATTATTAAAATCATATTCTGTTTTTGATTCTTTGAGAGATACTTTAAACGACCTTTGGTTTATTATAAGAGCTAATATATAAATATTATAGATTCGTATTTGGACCAAAATAAAGATTCTCTTTCCACTAAACAATATTGTTCTTTGCTGGCCAAGTAAATTTTGATAATTGTCTACGTCAAAAATAGAATAGAATTTTTTTAAAAAGGGTAAACGGTATTTCCCCACTTAAAAAAATCAAATCATGTTCATCAATTATATGTATTTAGTCATCAAATCATGTTCATCAATTATATGTATTTAGTCCATTGAATAAAACTATCATAATAATATATTTAGTGTAGTCTCATTGGGAGAGTGGTAGAATATGTAGACTTGCCTTCTAATAGACCCTAGATTCGAGTAAAATATTTCAAAGCAAGTCTGGAAAAAAAAATCAGTAGTGAAGAGGTCATGTTAACGAGAAAAGAAAAATAACAATATGAACAAAATAATAATATTATTGATGTGGAAAAGATGGAGTAAGTAAGGTGTTCCGAACGACTATTACTATGTCTTTTCCACAAAAAAGTGACACAACACTCAATTACTACCTGCTAAACTTCTACCTAATTCTCGATTTGTATAACTTTTTATCTAGAGTCATATCATTTGTAAACTAAAGATGTATCATGTCCTGTTGTCTAAACACTTTTTCCTAATATATTTTCAGTCTATCTCTACCTCTCCTTAGATCCACCATAGCCGATCTTTCACACCTACTTATCGGAACATATGTACATCTCCTCTTCATAGCACAAACCATCTTAGTTAACAATAATTATACTAAGTAAAGTTTTTAGTCTTATTCTAATAGCTCGTTAAACAGTAATTACATCTAATTAATTAAAAGAAGAACAACAATTTTGAAAGGGCAGCAATTCAATGTATGTGGTCAATTAACTATAGCTGATTAATTTACTCCATTATTTAATTTGCATTATTGCATGCTTTTATTAGAAGAGATAAGTGGAATAAAATATGTACTAGTAACGTCAAAAGTTGGCCACAATATGAAAGTTCCAACTACTTATCACCACAAAATAGTCAATGAAAACACACATACATAGGCCTAAATCATTATCAACCATTCGACTTGTATTATTGTATGTATGAAATAATTCATGTGGAAGTTGTTGCTCCATACATTATATGATACCTTTTTATGTTTAGACTATTTGATATCATTTTTACACATTTAGATAACTCATATATATAATATTGGAAAATTCTCTTTAAAACGTGAAATTTATAATCTTAAATCCACCTATTATTATAGGTCAATTCTACACAAGCATTTGCCCAAAATAAATCATTTGCATTTACTTGAGAATTGAGCAACAATGAAATTGAATTGGATAGTAGAAAGGGCTAAATATAGACAAAAAGTGGTGGTTTAATTAGACAGCCCATTAGGTGTTTATTGAACTTGGAAAGCACTAGCCCGTTATCCTTCCAAAGATCTTTCCATAACTAGGGCTCAAACACGAGATCTTTAGTTAACGAGCAACCTCATCCACTGCATCACATCCTTTTGATGATTTTATCATTCATTTCATGTAATAATTCAAATATACATGGTCAGTATAAAATATCGTTTTACACATTTAGATAACTCATATATATAATATTGGAAAATTCTCTTTAAAACGTGAAATTTATAATCTTAAATCCACCTATTATATACATCAATTCTACACAAGCATTTGCCCAAAATAAATCATTTGCATTTACTTGAGAATTGAGCAACAATGAAATTGAATTGGATAGTAGAAAGGGCTAAATAAGACACACAAGCATTTGCCCAAAATAAATCATTTGCATTTACTTGAGAATTGAGCAACAATGAAATTGAATTGGATAGTAGAAAGGGCTAAATAAGACAAAAAGTGGTGGTTTAATTAGACAGCCCCTTAGGTGTTTATTGAACTTGGAAAGCACTGGCCCGTTATCCTTCCACTACATAGAGCGGAGACTATTCGTTGCTCTGTGAAACCAGCCTCACGCAGTCCGCCCCACTCTAAAGGCAAAGCAACCCATACTTTCGCATAGACCACTTGGCCCAACTCCATGCTTGGATAGGGCAGTCCAGAGATTAGCCTGCCAAGCCCAGCCTTCAAGATCAGTTTAACATTCCACCACACTGTTGCCCCAACTTAGGTTACAAGCCCACGTTACAAGGCTCGGCGATGTTGAGTCTTGTCATTTAAAATATAAACACAAATAAGTCATTGTTCAAAAACGATGTGGGAGAATATGACACAATGTGTACCTAACTTTACCTTTATTTTATGGGTGAAAAACTGAAAGTCAATCAAGTCTAGATCTATGACATTATTTCATTAGACGTTTATAGATTTTATACAAAAGGTACTACAAGAAAGTGCAAAACTATACTATTTCTCGATTTCATCGCTTGACTGCTTTCTTTAATGGAGGACTTTCCTTCTTACGATAGAAACGTTGGAAAGAGTGTTAATTTTTTGACATAACCAAATCTTCCTGCGCCTAAAGGGATTGATTCTAGAGCAAAAGAGTCTTGAATCAATTTGAATTAACCAAAATCATAGAACAAAAGAGATCACAAAAGGTGCTATATGTGAATTTATTACAAATTTCAAGCATTTAATCATAGTCAATGAACACATATTTTCACCTTGTTAAAGTAAGTTCACATGATTTGATATAAATATTTTCAACGTAGGCAGATCCAAGATTTGAATCTTATAATTTCGAGATTCTAGCCCTTCTATGTTATTGAATTCCAAATTAATAATTCATACATATTAAATAAATCATATTTCGGGCAAAAAAAAGTGGTGGTTTAATTAAGTAGCCCATCAAGTTTTTGTTGGACTCGGAGAGCACTAGCCCGTTATCCTTCCACTGCATAGAGCGAGGACTATTCGTTGCTCTGTAAAACCAGCCTCACGCAGTCCGCCCCACTCTAAAGGCCAAGCAGCCTATACTTCCGCAAAGACCACTTGACCCAACTCTGTGCTTGGATAGGGCAGGCCAGAACATTAGCCCTTCAAAGTCCAGCCATCAAGAACAACCCAACATTCCACCACATTGTTGCCCCCACTCGGGTCACAAGCCCACGTTACAAGGCTCGGCTATTGTATCTGTCTTGTTTCTCATTTATGAAGTCACAAAAGCTTCTATTCATAAACGATGTGGGAGAAAGATACCTTTATTTTACTGAGATTTTCAAACAGTTTTTCTACCTGTAGAGAAAATATAGAATCAAGTCAATCTATGATATGTCATCAGGGATGTGGTTCTTTCCGGATCCTGCCTAAACGCGAGATGCTTAGTGTACCAGGATCAAGGCCTACGATTTTCGGAACCTTAATATAATAACTGTCATATATGAGTACTCAACAAAATTGAACTTTGTTGTAACAATCCAAAATATAGTTAGTATGATCATTCTACATTTAGCTTGTTCTATTTGATGATGAATTAATAAGCTGAATATAAACAGGTAGGAAATGTACATCAGATAACATTTTCATTGATCATATACTCATGAGTCAAAGTTTCTTTCATTCATAAATCCAAAAACAAAAATCATATTGTTGTTTTATTATTTATGTGCTGAAGCAATGATCAAGCTTCTGAAATTACTTTTCATTTACCTGTCCAATAGTCGATTTTTTGATCATGTATCATGATAAAAAAGCTGTCCTTTCATCCTCAGTTAACCTCTAATGATAGGTGCAAACTCTTGTCCGCGTCCTTGCTGTGGAGTAAAAGTACTATCAAACGAGTGCATAAGCTTGTTTCGATCCCTTAGTTAACCTCTAATGATAGGTGCAAACTCTTATTCAAGGAACAGAATGAAAAGGGAAAGAAAAACAGATCCTCTATTTCAGTTCATTCTAAGGTTTTTTTTTTTTGAGTTAACTACCTTTAGCTATTTCTAGGAAGTGTAGGTAGTTAATTTGTTTACCTTCATAATTCGCGTAAAAAGGTTCTCAAAGAATTGGCTTGACTAAGTTTATTCCAACTCCAATTGAATTCATACTTCTGGGAGTGGAACAACTGCTTCGAAAGCTTCCACAAGCATCGCCACTCTTGTTTTTCGTGCTGGAGTTAGCTTACTGACCATGTGCTGCACTGCATTATCAAGCATCCATTGTTCAGCTTTGTTCCTCTCATTTGACATTTGGTTTCTCAAATCCACTTTTTCTTGTTCTTGATCAGGTGTAGGGGGCAAAAGTTGAGGGGGTTGTGGATTGACTTTTCGAGCTCTTTCCAATACCTTTATTGATCTCTTAAGGAGGATCATTTTCTTCAGCTTGCTCCAGTTCTTGGACTTTGGTGGCTCAAATTTACTCTCAGTGATAGTATTATTACCAGCAAGTTCCTTTGTTTCTAATTGACTGTCACCATGTTTCAAGCTTTCGTAGAGTGACTTTGTACTATTTTGCTCTCCGCAATCTGTATGATCAGTTTTTGGTGGCTGTTCATCTTGAACAATGTTACTAGTGACACTCTGTGTATTGGACGAATCATCTTGAGTTGGTGTTGTTAGGATCTGACTAACTGCTTCTCTTATGAGATTGACAGCATCATTTCTGCTGAAACTTCTCCCATTGTGGCTCATATCATCTTTTTCTTCAGAGAAATCGTGAAGAGAGTTGTCCCTATTCGTTTCAGCTAGTGTTTTGTTGTTGTTTACCTCATTGAGTTGTTCATTCCCTATTTTTGATACAACATCTGAAAGTATGTGCTGTGATATCAAATGCCACATGCTGATGTGCTTCTGTTTGCTCACTGTGGCCTCACATTCAGAGAGATTCATATTATTTTCATGTGTTTTATCACCGTCGTTGCCTAAGTTTGAGATAGTAGAAGATGTTCCGCTTAGAGAATCATCAAACTTCTCTATTTCAACCGATCCCTTGTCACTCAAAGTGCTTGTTACTTCATCCAACTTCTTGCAGAGGACAATGGCCTTTTGAGTATCATCATTTTTTAACATCGACCTGTCATCTTCTGCATTCCTTTTGTCTACGTGTTTACGAACATTGTCTGCATTGGAGACTGATGCATTTCCCTTGCCTGCAGTCTGCAAATTATCTTCATTTCTAGTTTTCAGTGTAGGAAATGTAACCTGGATATTACTGCCTCGGGGAGGAACCACATTTTCGAAAGCTGTTACAAGTAATCCTACTTTTCTTTTCTGAGTCAAAGCAAGCTGACTTATCGCCTTTTGTAGAGCATAGTCAAGCATCCATTCTTCTGCACTTTTTCTCTCATCCTCTATCTGATGTTTCAGATTAACCTTTTCTGCCTCAGGATCAGGCTCCAGCTGCAGGTACCGCGGCTTCCTTGGGTTGAATTTTCTCAACTTTTCCAATTCTTTGATGAATCGTTGGAGAATAATCCATCTTTTAAGATTGCTCCAGTGTGTTGGCACTTTCTTCTCAGCTTTGTTCGTGACTAGTTCTTCGTTTTCCTGTTTCTCAGGGCAGCCAGTGTTATCTCTGGTAACATTTCCTTCATCTGACTTAGATGCCTTATCACATTCCTCATTCTTGGTGTCTGACTTGTTGGAGTTTTCTTCGGTACACACTGTTGTATAGTGAATACTTATATCAATAATTCGCAGAAAATTTAATACACAAGGAGAGGAGAGTAAGCAATCACATGTAGAAGTTTTCATGTCTTACCTTCACTTGTTACTGATTGATTATCTGATGACTGATCTTGAACTTCTGGAAGAAGAATTCTCTTGATTGCTTCTCGTACTAGCTTAACTGCTAAAAGCTTACGCGTTTCAATCTCCTGGTTATTTGCATCCTGATTTGTAGTCATTGACTCTCTTTCCGAAAAACTCAAAAATGAATCAGAACTTTCTGCTGCACAAGATTTCTTGCCACTATCCTTGTAATTATCTTCTTCAGCTCCACGGATCACTTTGCTGTCCAATTCTGTAGATTCATCCAAAAGCATATGTCTATGAATCAGGCTCCACATGCTCCTATGCTTCTCTTTCGAAAACTGGGCTATGTTCAACTTCTTGGCTGAGGCATTGGGATCAACATCTTCAGTTGGATTCGCTTTGTCATCCGTCTCTTGCAAATTGTCTACGAGTTTCATTGTATCGTTGCTAGCTGAAGCAGAGGAAAACTCAGTGCTACATTTTGCTTCAACGAGATCATATGTCAACGATGGTTCATTCTTAGACAGTTCTCTGTTGATATCCTCATCCTCCTCACCTGTGGTGACATCATTGTCAACTGGCTTTATCAGAAGTGGCAGTGCAACCGTATGACAGAAATCAGCATCTCTGTCCTCATTATTGCAAAAAACTGATGTTGTTACACTCTGATCATTTGATTCTACATCAGAAGTAACCAGTTGTGTGGAATATTTCCTCATTATGTCGATCGTCTCCTGATAACTTCTCTCTGGAAATGAAGTTTCACCAAACACAATCTCAACAAGATCAGCATACTGATCAATAGCCTCATTTACTCCGAAAACTCCAACATCTTGTATAAGGTTGCTATCCTCAATAGAAAAGTTATCTGCATTAGTGGACTCACTTTCTAGTCTAATGCTTTTATGTGATTTTAAGAGTTTTCTCCTTCTATATACGCGTTTTATTGGGGGTGACGGATCATCAGAGCGTTTATTGAGTGAACAGTGATGGTATGAACAAACTTTCACTTTTGAAACTCTGTCTGATTCATTTAGTCCAGGATGAAGTTCCACTTGTTGAGGGAACTTTGAATCCTTGAGAATGGATGAACAAGTTGACTTAGAACTACTAGATAAAGTACTCGACGATTTCCTACTAGATGGACTATGAGGACTTGCCTGAATATGACTTTGTTTCCCTTCAGAACATGAACTTGTTACCTTCATACAATGAGTGGACAATTCAGATACTTCAAGTGAAGATGGATGTTGAGGGGTTGTTGCATAATCAGAGGGAGATAATTGCTTGATTCTTGATTTTGATCTTCTCCAAGATGACTTTCTGTTGCCAAAATTTGTTATCATTTTGCAAAAAATGGAAAAAAAATATGATCTTTTTTTCCTTCTTTGATAAGAAAGAAAGTGCACAAAATTCTATCTTAATTAGTCTATTTTTGGTTTCTTAAAATCTTCTTGGTGATGGCTTTTGAAATTGGACTTGTTGGTTTCTCTTGTTTTGGGATTTTTTGTTGATTGAGCAATGAAAAAGGCAAGGAAAGAACCTAAGTTTGTTTGGTTTCTTAATGGTGTCTTGTCCCTTCTAGATGTCAAGTTTTGAGCTAGTACTTCTTTATTTGGTTAAAGCATCCGGTACGCGAAATTCACTGGCCTAACAAATCCGAATTTGTGTTAGGTGGGTCCATTAAGGGGACAAAATGGCTCGCTTCCAACTTCTAGCAGGTCCTTTATTCTCATGACTCAAACTCGAGACTCTGGTGTACATCTCTTGGTGGTCAAGGTAGTGTTCATTCAATGCTATTTGTCTATCCAAGATTTGACTTTTTTTAAAAAATAAAATGAAATAAGGTTTCTTTATTTTATTTTATTTTAAGTGTCGTTTTTACTAGTTAATTGTTTTCTGGAAGGTAGTTGAAATGTTTTTTCTGATGTGTTGGAGTTGAGATTTTTTTCATTTAATATTACATGAATGGTAGTGATTATATTCCCTAATTTATATTATTATTATTATAAGGTAGTTGACTAGTTGTCAAGAAATTAAAGTTAGGTTATCTTGTTAGTGTGTTTATTTTAAGTTATGGCTGACAAAAATGACAATAGATTGCAAATATAGATATTGGTTCAAAGTGATTGGTCCTTTATTTCTTTATTCACATAAACAAATTTCATCGTTACTGAAAAGATCTGCGTACACACCTTCACCTCTAAATTCTATTTATAAAATTACATTGAACATGTCATTGCAAACACTTCAAATCTTAACAATCAAGCATGAACTTTTATTTCTCAACAAAGTGATACTTTCTTTTCCGTTAATTTTTATTAGATTGATTTGTCAATTCTTACTAGTGACCGGGGAGACGAGGGGAGATCAAACTCAAAATATAAAAAAATGAAAACTCGAATTAACTAAGAAATTCAACATATAGTATATAAGTTTAAGTAATACACACCGTAAAAAAAATTTACACTATCAAATCATTCTAAAAATGTGTCTATAGATAAACCTTATTAAAATAAAATTTTGGAATTTAAAAACATGAAAATTCAAATAAAGATGATCTAATAGTTCAAAAGATTTTAATTATCATAAATATTTGAAGGCTATTTTGGAAATTCTAGTTGGAAGATCACTATAACAATAAAGTCGGCACCGACGCAAAATAGAGCTTTTTTTTTCTATTAGAAAATAACTTTAATTTATTTAAGAAAATTTGGGATATATAAAACAGTCCTATTTTCAAACTTATAAATTTTAAATTTTAACAAAGAAATATATTATTTAGCTTTTGATTAATTGTGATTTGTGGGTTATGCGCCTATATTAGTGAATGCTTTGGGCCTAATATATTGTGTCTGTGATTCCTATATATATTGGGCTAAAAGATGGGATCATTCATAAAAGAAAAATTATGTGATCTAAATTCTAATTGATAAATTAGCCCCTAATTGATAAATTAGCAATTAAGTCATAATACCTAACATAATTAGTCAAAATAACAACACTTTAAAGTATTTATTTAAAATGGCAGAATGACAATATTTTTATAAAATAATATGTATTCAAATTTTAGTATTTTAAATTAATTTTATTTATGGAAAGAGTCTTATATTGGACCAAATTATATACCAATAACCGTTTAAAGTGACAAAAAAAATTAAACCAATATCATTAACCTTTTTTCATCACCATTCACATTTCTTCCCCAACTTTCACGTTTCTTCCCCACCTTTCACGTTTCAAGTTTATCTTTCTTCAAGGTGCTAAATTGTTGTTCATCAAGAAATTTTCTTTATTGTTAAACGAAATCTCTTTATTAATTCAAACGGATTTCTCGATTGGCAAGGTAATTTCCATTATCCATTTCGATTAGTTATTTAGATTTCTTTTGATTTGTTTTTAATATCACCGTTTATGGTTTATATTTCGCATTGTACATATTACGGATTTTCCGTTAATTTTTTTTTTTTTATGCAAGTGTGTTTACACATTCTTCCCTATTCTCTCTCTCCATCTTTTAATTGGGGTCGGAGGTTACAAGGTGGGAAATTGAATTCTCACTAACAAAATGCAATTTCAAATAGCCAATTAGCAGAGCTATTAAGATTTTCATTTTTTTTGTCTCCCTTCCTCTTTCTCATTAGTGTCATTGACTTCGGCTTCTTCTTCTTATGGTGGTGGTGGAATAATTGTATATATGTAGGGTGTATATATGTCAGACATATATTATTGTACAATACATATACATTGACTTATACACAAGATGTTTTGTGTGTATGTATCTTTTGTATAAGTCATTTTATAATATCACGCATATCATTATACATATAGTGGAATACATATGACACACAAGTGATATAATACTGTGTATTTTTTGCGTATGATACATTCCTATATATGTTTGTGAGTATGCCTTGCATGTCAATGTATGTCAAACGTATTTTAAATATGTAAACTGTCAGTGAATATATGTATGTATATATGTATGACAACTAGATATGTATGTGTATATGTATGCATGACAAGAAAGATATTTGGAAACTATTACTATTAGTTGTTGAAAACTAAATAGTTTTGGTAAAATCTCTTTGTTAGGAGCTTCATAAAAACTAAACATTTTCAAGTAGACAAGAATATTAATTATAGTACTATGAACACATTACACACGCAACAAATAAGATCATAAAAAAGTTGTAACACTAATTCTAAATTGATTTACTTGAAAGGTATTCCAAATGCCATTTTCTCAATATGTACACACAACAAAATATATATTTGAGTATTATTACTCATTAATTACTTTTGTTTTACAATTTACAAAGAGCTTAAAATAGTAAAGAAAAGGAATACACGATTAGTCTTAATCTTAAGTGTCACTTTCCTCTTAATCAAAATATCCAAACTTTTAATATTTTTTTAATGCACGTGTCTTATATCCCCTTCATACTTCATCATCTCAAATTATTATCGCGTTTCTGTTTTACTCTCTGAAAAAAATAATTAAAAGAATTTGTTTTGACTATTTTATCTTCAATTATGTTGATATAATTTTTCTTAATATAAACAACATGACACAATTATCCATGACCAAGCCAAAATAACTAAAATTATTATACTAATTTAATTTTGGTTTTTATTAGAAATCAAATCAAATCAAATCGAACCATAAATACATACCTAATTACCACCAACCTACAAATAATCTCACCACTAAAAAATGTGGTGAATTAAATCAGACGGCTCCTTCCTTAATCATATATCTCAATTTCGAGTCCTTGACAGAATGCACCACCCTTGGATTTGCCCTACCCTACACAAATTCCGATTAGGCGAATTCTAATCTAAATATCAAACACCAAATGAAAATCGAAAAAAAAAAAAAACTTCACCAACCTCCAAATTTAACTCATATAATTACTTGCAAGCAACAACCTCATATCTTGACAATTTGCCCTTTTCTCCTTTCTCTCACATAATCAAAACGATTTTCATATTGAGAAAGGAGAAAAGGACAAATTCAAACTTTTTAAAAAAAATAAATTAAAACGATTTACAGATTTCTGCAGAATCAGAAAATTGTTGAAATATTTTATTTATATTTATAGAATTGAATTGAATTTTAGTAATAATAATATTCAATCATGTCTATCCATACTTCCTTAAGCTGATACAGATCATACGTCAGTTTTTTAACCATATACCCAAATCGTTATCTGATCCAAATTTCTGACTTTTTTTCCTTTTTCGAATCCCTATATGATCTATTAAATCCAATCTGTGCCAAATTGCAGTGCTATTAAATTTATTATTTTTCATATTTTCTCTGTATTTTTTTAGAAAGAAGTATTAGCCTGTTCTTGAGTTCTTTTCCCTTTTCTGAGTTTTTTTTTTTGAGAAATTTTAGTTTTTTTGGTTGATTCCTAGAACCCCTTTTGATTTTGGTTTGTGGGGTTGCATAAAAATTGAATCTTGATTTCTGGGTGTGTTGGGTTTTGTGCTTTTGTCAAGTTCTTGTTGGTGTTTGAGCTGAATTGACAAGATTTTGTACAAAGGGAAATGTTGAAACAGGAAAAGATTGGGAATTTATCTCTTTGACTTTCCTAAATTTGAGGTATTTTCTTTGATCTAGTAGTTCTATTCTTGAACTTTAACTTAGCTTTGTTAATTTCTGGTTCAATCTGATTCCTTTGAATCTTGTGAATAACCTTTGTCAAAGTATCATTAGTTTTTGTGTTACTTTGATATTCAGAGCTTGTACAAACCTTTGTTGTGCTAATCTTGTTCAATTGGTATAAGTTTAGAGCCTTTAGATTATTAGGTATTTGTGTATTGGTTGTCTTAACATTTTGCTGAGCAACCTATAGGAACCAGTTCCTTTGTCCATTTGAGATGGATATAAGTAATGAGGCTACTATTGACTTCTTTGCTATTGGACCTTCTACGATATTGGGTCGAACAATTGCCTTTAGAGTCTTGTTTTGCAAGTCGATTACGCAGTTGAGGCATCGTTTGTTTCATTTCTTGGTGTATTACTTGTACAAGTTTAAGAATGGATTTTCGTACTATGTGACACCTTTGATTTCGTGGTTGCACCCTCGCAATCCACAAGGGATATTGGCATTAGTAACGCTTCTCGCCTTCTTGTTGAGGCGGTATACTAATGTAAAAGTTAAGGCTGAGATGGCTTATAGGAGGAAGTTTTGGAGGAATATGATGAGATCTGCCTTGACTTATGAGGAGTGGGCTCATGCTGCTAAGATGTTGGATAAAGAGACACCTAAATTGAATGAGGCAGATCTTTATGATGAAGAATTAGTTCGAAATAAACTTCAAGAGCTTCGACATCGTAGGCAAGAGGGTTCTCTAAGAGATATCATTTTCTGTATGAGAGCTGACCTTGTAAGGAATCTTGGTAATATGTGCAATTCAGAACTTCACAAGGGAAGGCTTCATGTGCCTAGACTTATTAAGGAATATATTGATGAGGTTTCAACTCAGTTGAAAATGGTATGTGACTCTGATTCAGAGGAGCTTCTGTTGGAAGAGAAGCTTGCTTTCATGCATGAAACAAGACATGCATTTGGTAGGACGGCTTTGCTTTTAAGTGGAGGTGCCTCTCTAGGAGCTTTCCATGTTGGTGTGGTGAAAACGCTTGTAGAACACAAGCTTCTGCCACGGATAATTGCTGGTTCAAGTGTTGGATCGATTATGTGCTCCATAGTTGCGACTCGATCTTGGCCTGAGCTCCAGAGTTTTTTCGAAGACTCCTGGCACTCCTTGCAATTTTTCGATCAGTTGGGTGGAATTTTTACTATTTTCAGGAGGGTCATGACCCAGGGTGCTGTACATGAGATCAGACAGCTGCAGGTGCTTTTACGCAATCTCACGAATAATCTTACTTTCCAAGAAGCCTATGACATGACTGGTAGAGTTCTGGGGATTACCGTTTGCTCCCCCAGGAAACATGAACCTCCTAGATGCTTGAATTACTTGACTTCACCTCATATTGTTATATGGAGTGCTGTGACTGCTTCTTGTGCCTTCCCTGGTCTCTTCGAAGCTCAAGAACTGATGGCAAAGGATAGAAGTGGAGATCTTGTTCCATATCACCCACCATTTCATTTGGGACCTGATGACACTTCTGATGCATCTTCTCGTCGATGGAGGGATGGTAGCTTGGAGGTAGATTTGCCAATGATGCAGCTAAAGGAGCTCTTCAATGTCAATCACTTCATTGTGAGCCAGGCGAATCCGCATATCGCTCCTTTACTGAGGATCAAGGAGTTTGTAAGAGCTTATGGAGGCAACTTTGCTGCCAAGGTATGTTCTATGGATTTTTATTTTCTTTATTATAGATGGTCTTGGTCTCTTTACTTTCAGTTGATGTAAATGTTCACTGCTGATGCTTAATCTAACTCTTGTACATGTATTTGTGTATCTTGAGTTAGTTTTCAAGTAACTATTCTGTATCTATAGGTAGATGTGTATACCATAGACTTCAACCATATGGTGATAAGGAGCTATTTGATTCCCTCATTTAACTTATTCAAGAATCTTCACTTGTTTGAACATTTAAAATAAGCTCTTTAGTTCAACCGAAGTCACTAACTTGAAGGAATCATATGCAGAATAATTTTTGTAGTTAACATGCACCGCCAAGTAGCAGTGTGAACATCTCTATGGGATTTTCTCCTTTGTAGAGATGGGGTTCTTGTAAGTCACTGGTGATCAGTTTCTGAGCAACAATCTTTTGTTGGAAAATTAATGAGCAGTTTGCAGCTCAAAGTGGTTTTGAAATATATAATCAAGCAAGATTCACTTGTTGATATTCTTCTGCTATCCTTTAGGTGCTAGAGTAACGGAATGAGTCTGTCAAACCTATAGAATAATCTTGAATATAATATAAATCTAGCCAACCAAATTGCCTTTATTCCATTGGATCAACTGATCACATCTTCACAAGGTATACTCGGTTTTAGTTCTATGGTTTCGACATCCAAATGTGTAGGCTCTATATAGACCTTGTTGGTGGTTGTTAACTCGTAACTAAGAATTGCTACTTCATGGCTCATATCCTTGCATGCTCCTAGCGTTGTTGCTATCTTTTGTTGAGACTGAGATTTAAGCAGAACCATTGTAACATAAAGTATTTCGCCGTGCAGCTTGCCCAGCTTGCTGAAATGGAGGTGAAGCACAGATGCCATCAGGTGTTAGAACTTGGTTTTCCCTTGGGAGGAATAGCAAAGCTTTTTGCTCAAGATTGGGAGGGTGACGTAACTGTTGTGATGCCTGCCACTCTAGCTCAGGTATGTCCACTACGAGCAATTTCTCTTTTTGCAAATAAGAAAAAAGTGTTGTTTCGTCAAATCATGTCAAGTTTATACGAAATTGTCTTAATTTTCAAAATAAGTCTACGATAAAGAACTGCAGGTTGGCTTGACAACTGATCTTTTCTCCAATTTTTGTTTATGATACAGTACTCGAAAATCATACAGAACCCTTCTACTCTGGAGCTGCAAAAGGCAGCAAATCAAGGAAGAAGGTGCACTTGGGAAAAACTCTCGGCCATGAAAGCAAACTGTGGAATTGAGCTTGCACTTGATGAGTGTGTTGCTATTCTGAATCACATGCGTAGACTGAAAAGGAGTGCCGAGAGAGCGGCTGCTGCTTCTCAGGGCTTGTCAAGCACTGTCAGATTTAATGCTTCCAGAAGAATTCCTTCTTGGAACTGCATTGCACGAGAGAATTCAACAGGCTCCCTTGAAGATTTTCTTGCGGATGTTGCTGCTTCACATCATCAAGGAGGCGGGGCACATGCCACCCGAAATTGGAGAACACATCGTAGCACGCATGATGGCAGTGACAGTGAGCCCGAAAATGTGGACCTTAACTCTTGGACAAGATCTGGTGGTCCTCTGATGAGGACAACATCTGCTGATAAGTTTATCGACTTTGTCCAGAACTTGGAACTTGGTTCACGATTGAACAAAGGATTGACTATTGACCTCAACAATCTCGTTCCTCAGATGGCTGGTAGGGACCTGTTCTCCCCAAGCCCAAGGGTAACAACACCAGATAGAACTTCAGACACCGAATTTGATCAAAGAGATTTCAGTATTAGAGTCTCCGCGAGTAGTTCAAGCATTATGGTAGGTGAAGGTGACCTTCTACAGCCTGAAAGGACTAACAACGGTATTGTCTTCAACGTGGTAAGAAAAGGAGACTTAACCCCATCGAATAAAAGCCTCGATTCAGAAAATAACAGTTCTGTGCAGGACACAGTTGCTGAGTGCGTGCAACTTGACAGTCCAGAAAGGGAGATGGATATTAGCTCAGTATCTGAGGATGGTGAGGACTACGTTGAGCAAGAAAGTGGTAAGAATAATGAAGTTGATTCCGTTCACTCTAGTGAAAATCGTTCAACCATTGATGATGGTGAAGATAAACAAGTTATCGACAAGCAAGTTATCGATCATTGAGAAAACAAGGTTCGTTTAGCTTTGATTATTCTGCACAGGACAGGACACTCAAATTCTTTTATATTACTCAATGGATTATATAGTCAGAGCTAACACACTCAGAATTGGTATTTGTAAATAGAAGAGGTACTAATTTTATGTGTAATAATTGTTTAGTGTACTGATCATCACTCTTTTACTAGTTCATAGTACTTTTAGTTCTCAATGAAAATTTAGAACTTTGATAATTCTATGTTATTTTTGCATACTTCTCCTTTCTTTCCTTTATATCTTTCGAGTTACTCATAAGAGTATTAGAACGAAAAGATTCATTAGATAATGAACTATTCGTTCTAAGTCATTTCTGACGATTAGTCAACAATGTGAATAGTGCTTTTCTTGTGTATTCAATCATGAAACAAAGACTCAATCAACATTTATATATAGATGTAGGACGATCTGCTTGGGAAGTAAAAAAACCCCTATGACATCATTTTTTCTATAAATAATTCTCGACGCGAAAACACAGAATTTCGATGTGTGGATTCAACTCATGGAGTTCAGGTATACTATGAAGAATGCATGGATCGATAGGAAATACCATTCTGGCATGAGAAGTGCTTAATGTTAATATCAACCCATAATCTCTATGTTATGTGTTATATTCATAAATATCAAAGATTAATAATTGGTCCGATATGTGTTATTATTGCTTATATACAGTAATAATGTAGAAAATTAAAACAGTTGATTATATTTGTTTGCGATTGTGTTTATTAATGACATCTTGAGGGTACTCGAGGAGTGGAGGTCAACACGTATGTCACCTCAGATTAATCAAATTATATCATATAAATTAAAATGAATAAAAATATTATTTTGGTTGGTGGTGTTGCTTAGGAAAATCAGCCTTGTGTTTTTGTCAGCACAGCCAACAATAGTTATTAGTTAATTAAGGAGTATATTATTTCCAGAACGAACTTTATATACGCACAAAAAATAAACATTATTATAGCAGAATATAACTACTCATTAACAACGTCTAAATTCCGAATCTGTGTTTATAATTTTGTTTTGGCAAAACAGTTGCCAGTGTTTCTGCATTTGGAAGAGTTGCATGTGCAAATTGTCTGCCACTGAAGTGTGTTGCCAGGAGGTTTTCCAGTTGTCATATGTCTTTAAATATGCCTTAAATTCTGATAGTATAAGGTTCCACTTTACTTGTCATAATACAGTATAGCATATTTAATAGAGTACTTGTTTCATCGTAATTTATGTGACTTGATACAAAATTAAACGAAAAATAGAAGATTTTTAAAATTTATGGTTTAATACGAATCTTAGACATTTGTGTGACTAAAAATCATTTCATTAACAGTAAAATAAGATTTTTAAAAGCTTAGTTATTTCTAATTATATAAAAATGACATTTTTTTTGAATGAATTTATGTAAATTAAGATGAAGGAAATAGAAAGTACTGTTGATTAGTTTTTTAGAGCCAATAGTTCAAGCTTTTTTTTTTTTTTTTTGAGATTTTTTTTACATCACACCTCGAAACACACTCGCTTTTACATTTTCTTAACCTGAAATGGTTGGGGAGAGTAAAGATTCTTAATCCGAACATATAGTTCAAAGCACGTGGTTATGAACCATGGTATCAGGAGTTTGAATTTTTCCTCGCTCAAAACCGGCCCAAAAAGGAAGTACCTTCCCTCGAGGGGTAGGAAGATCATATTTTTGCATACAAATAATCCTAACCTGTGAGAAATGAAGATATTGCTGTAGCAATATTGTAATTTTGTCGAGAATTTATCGAAACTCGAAAACAATCTCTCTATTTCTCAAGATAGAGATATTGGGTACGTATGTTATTGTTGTTGTAATATTATTGTAAATCTATCGAAAGCTACTGTTGAAAACAACTTCTTTACCTTTCAAAATAGATATATATACCATTCTTTTTTAGACTTATAAAATTACAATAAATATATTATTACTAATATATATTCGGTATTATTACAATTTTAATTTTTGTGGTCCAAAAGCAAATAATTGCATGTTGACTGTTAGGCCATAAAGTCTAATTAAAAGAGGTTTGAATGGGCTGTCAATATCTTGTTGGGAGGGCCACCCCCGAATGGGCCCTGCAGAGCACGATTCGGATATAGTCGGAGCTCCAAATGATCAACCTACTCTCTCTCCTAATCCTTCCACTCCCATCACATCCCAAAAGACTCTCGGTACAATGATGACTCCTCCACTGGAGCAAAAGAATGCATCAATGGGCGTGTCTTCTCTAAGACTATCAACATGCGAAAGTCTAATATCTAATTAATTATAACTTTTGTATGATATTGGACTCATTTGACAGCAAAATACTTATTATTTTCTTACAAGTGGCATCAATGTTTACTTTTTCTATTGCCAAAGATGAGAAAGACGAAGGGGAAAAGGAAGAGAGATGGTGGTAAAAATATGTATCTAGTTAGTTGTATGTGTATATACATGTATCTAATTAAAAATTTGTGTATCTCATAAAGTGTACACGTATCTGAATTAAGATTATGTACCTATAAGAAAAAAATTATGATGCTCAAAAAAATGAGAAGAAATTTATTTTTTTTTTGAAAATTTTGGGAGAGGAAATTCATGGAAGAATTGGAGAAGAAATTAATAGGAAAACGCGTGATTTCCTCCTAAATTGATGTGTTTACGTTACTTTTCATATTTAGATACATATAATTAGATGTATCTGCTTAGCATGTATCCGAGATACATGTATCTAAACTACCTTTTATATTTAGATACATATAATTAGATGTATCTGCATAGCATGTATCCGAGATACATGTATCTAAACGTGTTATGTACATGTATCTGAAACCAAAATATGGTAGAAATTGTAATATCGAAAACTCACGGGAAGAGAGGTAATTAGCTCCTAAACTAGTGGGATTTATGTTGTTTGCCCAAAAAAGAATGGGCTGTCAGTTAGTGTTATTAACTGTATTTAGACAAGTGAAGATCAAACGAGACAAATTTATAATCTATAAATATTGCTTTTAACAAAGTCCAATCGATTCATATCGATCAATCGAATTAAAAATCTATCTTGATTTGTCAAAATGAAAAAGTTAATATGAAAATTCATTTTTATTAATATAAAAGAATTGAATTAAAGTGTTTTTATATATATGTATATTCTTTTGAGACCAAAGAGGACCTACTGTTTAAGGCTTTAATGGGTGACTTGTCACCATCCAACTCTATACTACAAATTTATTTCTAGGGTTATGTTATTATCAACCTCAAAAACACATATATCATATGAATTTATATTATAATTTTATTAAAAAAAATCAGTTTTCTTTCATTTTAATGTGAAATTCGCTTAAAAGTGTCATAGTGTATCGTTTTTTTTAATAATTGTTAATTTTGAAGTTTGTCTGTCGATCGATCTTTCTTTTCAATGTACACTTGTAATCAACTCATCGTCCGTTGTAAACATCACATACATTTCCTTACAGCTAGGTAGTGTATTCATCGAGGCTATATATTATACTATCGTAGTGAGAGAGAGTCCGATTAGAATGTGACTTTTTGCTAGTAAAATAATATGGTAATCTAACTTGGCGTGCCAATATAAAAGCCAAAAGGTACACAATTTTTAAGCTTTAATTCCAAAATTGCAGAAGCATGCTCCCATAACACCACTCATGACTTGTCCTTTTTCTTTAATTTAAACGTATTTTAATTAATTTTACGAGACATTTGTCACTTTTCGATCACCAGTAATAGACAAAGGTTTGAATTACTTTGTCTATCGAAACAATTTGAACTCAAAATCTCGTGATTCTCAATTTACTTCATTGAATTTTTTGATTAACAACTGAACTAAGACGCCTAGACGGACATCCTAAGCCCTCACCCTTGTCTTTTTCACAAAACTGAAGTTGTCTAATTCTTATGTTGATATTTAAGATCGTAAATTCAAAGGAACTTGAGTACGAAAATTATTGTATCTTAGGGTAAGTGTAGCCTCAAGTAGGACGGATTCAACTTTTATATATATATATATATATATATTAGTAAAATGACCCGTGCTTCGCGCGGAAATTTAACATCACAAAATTTATACAATAATTCTTAAAATCTATCAATCATTAAAACTAAAACACTATATTATCTTACATACAAGATTACGTAGCAACAAACGTTAATAATGTAAAGGAAAATACATTCCAGGATCTGTAACATAAGCAATGGTGTTAGTGAACCACTCAACAGGAGCAAAATACATAAATATTTATATTTAATTGTGAAGAAGAAGAAGAGGTTCATAATTTTCGTTATTTTAAAATGAGAGGAATTTCCTCTATTTATAGACAACAAAGGGTAGTGTGAACAAATGTTAATTGTGCCTTATTGGAAAGGTTACAAGAATTTGAAAAAGTTGCAACCCTTCGGAAAGGTCATAACCTTTCATAAAAGTCACAACTTTTCAGAAAAGTAGCAACTCTTCATAAAAGTTACAACTTTTCATAAAAGTCGCAATTCTTCATTAAAGTCGCAACTCACCATTAAGTCGTAACTTTTCATGAAAGGGGAAGGCTATTTTTGTAAATAAAATATATTAAAAGGAATCCTTGTTTGTGGTGGCGCCACGTAGGCGGACCTAAGGTTCTCTTTTATATATATATATATATATGACAATAAGTAGTATACTGAGATTCGATAGACTTGCAATATCAATTCTTACCAATAATCTTGGTGATCATGATCTATATATGCAGCAATTTCATTATAGTAATTAATGTGAATCCAACACCAAGTTTTGGTGCAATGAATGAATAGGAAATCATAGTTAAAATATATACATAAGATGATTCTCTTATATAATTAAAATGTACCTAATTAAAACTAACTTATGTCCAATCATTTACTAAATGATTATCAATCATAAATACCTACCAAATTAATTAAATCTTGTAACGTATATTTGCCATGTTATCGTTGATATCTGCTAACCCATCACTTGTTGCAAGAATTACTTACTCGTTAT